GGAAAGCCAGCTCCCCACGGTCTCTTTCAGTTCCCAACAGCCTGCTTCTCCTCCAGTTCTGCCTCTTATGCTGCTGGCAACAGTCCTCAGGTGGGCCTCCCACACCCAGCACCACAGTTACTCAGTTCAGCTGGGGGTTATAAGTTGACCACCAGTTATCAATCCGCTACAGACATGGAGGACAGTTCTATCACCCCCTACGGCTTCTAGGTGCTCCTTTGTAATCAGCCCTTCTTGGGCACCCCCTTTATAAATTCACCCATTCAAATACATTTTAGTTGTTTCTGAGTTTGCCAAGCAGCCTTTCTTAAGTATACAGTAGGGGGCTAAAAGACGTTTTCAAAGACAGATAAAGAAGTTCTGAAGTTTGAAGGGTGCTCCAAAGGCAGGGCTAGTCCTTAATAAAGACTGGAAATTGGGAGTCATATAAGCAGATAAATGGGTTTCAGCATGATTTCACTAAACAGGCTGTCCTTCCCTAACTACAAACTCTAGATACATACACATTATGCCTTCCTTTTTCTACCAGGAATCGAACTCAAGACCTTGCTCTTGCCAGGAAGGCACTGTGCTGCTGAGCTATATCCTCAGGCCCACATTATGTCTTATATAAAACCATGTGAGGGTGGTAGATTCAGGGTCTGAATTCCTAGCTTTACTGGAACAACTGTTTAGTTATGTAGAGTGCTTGTCTAATCTACAAGTTCTTTGATGTCTTCACTTCTACAGACAAGAGGAACACAATGTTTCCACTGAAGTGGTCATGATTAATGGCCTTCTAGCTAACTACTGTTGCATTATAGACCTTTCACACACAATATACAGCTTTGTTGTGAGGCAGTTTTACAGATAAGCAGCTACATAGGTGAAGGATTAGGACTCTGGTATTTTGTCTGTAAGTCAAGTGTCCACCTTCCCCTCTCATAGTGGGGATTGAACCAAGGCCTCTAGGCATTCTAGGCCAGCCCTAGGCCAGCTCTCTAGCAGTGAGCTACATCAGCCCAGTGTCTCTTCCAATACCCCGTGCTCTGCGGAGGAAACTCTGACTCACCCGGGTAATCAGAACCACCCATTTTGGGAGGGAGGGGCGTGAGGTTTTTCTAATCCCAGCTGTGGGCAGGCAAGACACAGGGTTTATCAAGGAGGTCACCCTCACCACACTGTTTGCTAAAGCAGTCCCTCTTTTCAGCGGTGCCTGCCTTTTTTTTTTTTTTTTAAGCAAAAGCAGGCCCCTACCCCCCGCTTTTAAATTGCTCTAATAGATTTTTTCCCATTAACCCCTTTGCTTTAAGCAGATTTCCTATCTCAGGTGTGCAACTAAACGCTTCCACCTCTTTTTCGCTAACACAGAGCGCCCAGAGATACATAACGCCTGGCGCTGCAAAACAAGTTCGAGATCCTGCGAGACGGGCGGGAGTGGGTGGCCTGGTTTCCACGCAGGGAGCAGCACCTGCGGCCGTGCGCCGCGGCTGCGGTCCGAGGGTCTCTAAGTTGAGGAACCCGCGCTGTAAGCCATTCTGCTGCCCTAGCGCTCACACCGTGAAGCGGAAGCCCGGGACTTTCTCGGGACTGCCTCCCCGCCAGGAGAACCGGCGGGCGCAGGGCCTGTCCCCTCCCAGGACCCCCAGCCCCTGCGCTGTCACTTCCTGCCGGCTGGGGTGGCCCGCCCGAGGCTGGGCGCGGCGGCTCCGCCCCGGCAGGAGCGGGCGGCCCCTCCCC